CCAGGTAAATTTATTGCTCGCATTCGCGAATTCACCTCTGGCTGATAGCAGCACCATGTCGCAACATATTGTTTTATACTTGTCACGTTGTGATCCTTTGACAGGCTTGCGGAAGCAGCTGGTTCATTGTCCCAGACCCACATGTTGTGCCAGCCTTGCGTTATCAATGCGATGGTTTCAGAGTGTCCGAAATGTTGCATCGAAGCCGGGCACCCCCAACAGTGCGCTATCGCGCTGGAACTTCTTGGAGATGCTATCTTCCGGATGTGCGTTTTGCGCGGCAAAAGCAGATCGCGGCGCACTCTTCGCGAGAGCGGTGATCTTCGGCCTAGGGTTCAGCATTTCTCCGGGCGGAGTGCCGCAACAGGAGCAGCATTTGTTTTTGGACTGAAGCCAGTATGGCGCACAGGTACCAGAGAGGACCCAATCCCTTGGGCCTGGGCCAAGGAAACTAAAAGCTAAACCTAAACACAAAATTGTGCCAGATATTCACACTGGTCAACCTTGCTAATAGGTTTAGCTGACCCAAGCGTGTGAAAACACGCCTCAGCACACGGGCTCGGTGATTGTCACCTGCCCCTGCGTACCGGCGTAGTCCACCGGCGACGCGCGCAGGTCCCGGTACTTCCCAAAACGGAAACTCCTCCAACATCACTCGCACCTGCTGCCTGACCTCGCGAGTTGACGACGCTATAAAGAAATCGTCGACTTCGAGCAGTATCATGCTCTCGCGACCGTTCCCTTTCGCATGCTTCAATCACCAGCAGGGCTCTAACAGTGACCTCACATACCCATGATCAGGCAGGAACTGAATCACGGTCTTCCGCCACGCGACAGGCGCATCGCCCAGACCGTATACATGTATGTACAATGAGCTCAATGAGAGCTCCCTCCTCGACTCGAACTCAATGGCAGGGCTCGACGCATATGGGCCCACCTTCGCGCTTCATCGGATTCGACTGACAGAAAGCATGTCTCGCGTCGGCTGTGTCTCCGTACATGCCGTGAGTCCTCAGAACCTGCATGAACATCATCAGTGAAGCGGACTGAGGGGTCGGCGCAAAAACTGCGAGGGTGCCTGTGTCGGGGCCCCGGTGGCCATGGGCACGCCACCTAGACTTTGCTGTTGGCTCCGCTAACGCCCCCTCCTGGGGCTTCCATCGGCGCACCATGCGGGACGATATTATCCTCTCGGGCTGCATCTCGCGGATTATCTTCGCTTTTTTGGGGGGAATGATGCGCGCGGCCCCGGAATTCTTCATGTTTTCTCCACTCGGCCCCGTCGGAAATCTCAAACTCTGCCCTCTCGGCCGGAGCGAGCTTGGACCAGACAATCCCCCCCCTCGGCTGGCGGCGAAGACCTCTGCTTTGCGCTGGGAGCTAGAGAACTCCCCCGTGATGTACCAAGCCCCATCCCCTGAAGTGGAGGGAGAGGGGTCTCCCTGGCATTACTCGACTCGCAAAGCCCCAGACGGTTCGGCGCACGCCAAGAATGATGAGGTCCCCCCACTTTCTCCGTAATGCCTTGAGCTACCAGCACCATTGTCACGTCGGGGGGGATCTCTCTCGCTCGGCCCTGGCTGCTATCTGATCCTCGACGTCCTGAACACGCTCTGGAACGCCGCTGGGCCCTCCAGCCATCGGCCTCGCGCCGAGGCCCGACGACGGCGTCGTGCCAGGGGGGGCCGGAGACAGGGGGGAAGTGGCGCCTGGGCCAGGTGGAAGAGGCGAGGCAGAGAGCGGCAGCAGCTCGGCCCCGGAGCCAGGATCCGGAAGACCGGGAGGGGGATCGGTCCTGGGTTTCTCGGGCTTTGATGTCCCCGAGTTGCGACTGGCCTCGCGGCTCTCGGCCGCGCTCCTGGATGTTCCTCTCCGGAGGGTGCAGGCGGGGACGTCCGAGGCCTGCTCGAGCTTAGCTCGAGGTCTCGGGGGAGGTGGAGTAACGTCGGAGTCCTGCTTCTCCACTCGAGCCTCGCCCAGCGGTGGCGACCCCTCGGCTTCTCGAGCTTCGTCCAGCAGTGGCTTGGAGTCGCCCCATCGGGCCGAGCCCCCCGGGCCTCCCTGGCCGCCGGTCGCGGTTCCTCCTCAGAAGTGGCATCGCCCGATATTTGGCGCACACTCGCTCCCGATTCGCTCTCGGCAATGGAAGGCAGACGAGTGGATGGCTGAGCCGCGTTCGAGGGTGCGGCTGAAGAGGGGCGAGACCCCCCGCGGGCTCGGGCTCCACACGTCCTCGCCAGAGCCGGGAAACTTGGGTCGACAGATCCGGGTGGCTGGCCCGGCCCCGGGACGAGTCTTCCGCAGCCCCTGGAGGCTCGACCGGGGCCCCGGGCACCCTTGGAGCCGGACCCCCCTCGGCCGCCAGCGGCCGATCCCAGGCTTCTTCGGGAGGAATCCCCTCTCGCTGGACGTCCACTGCTGTCGCGCGACCGTGTCGCGCTTGCTCCAGCAGCTCGCTCCATTGCGAGTTCTGTGCCAGTTGCAGTCCGCATTCTTCCTCCAGGCTCGCGGATCTGACCTGGCCCATGGAGAATTTCCCCATGCGGGCTCTCATCGCAACCCACGCCGTTCCCCCTTCCTGGAGCACGACGATGCCTGGCCCGGCCCAGGCGTCGCGGCGCACCCCCAGGCTCTCGGGTCGGGCGGTGGCCCTGGCCATCCACCTCCAGACAAACACCTGCTGTCCTGGAGTGAAAGACCTGGGAGGGGGGCCCCTAGCACGAGAAGCTTTCTGGATGTGATCGCGGGCGGTCGCTTTGATCGCCAACTGCTTCGCTCGCTCGCGTGCTCGGCGAGCCCTCGCAAACTCGGCACCGGCAGCATCTTGCTCCGATGGTCCTCCAACGACGTCCTGCCGCCCTGGCAACCCCATCCCGTCGTCTGATAAAAACTCTTGCGGGAGTCTCGGGTTCTATCCGAACACGAGCTGGCGTGGCGAAACCCCTCCCCGATGCCAAAATCGATTTTCGTGAGCCACTAGCTCATGGACCAGGGTATCCAGTTCTTCCAGGGAGGCCAGCCAGAAGGTCCGAGCCTGAATCCAGCTCGGCTTGGGCTCGCTCTTTCACCCATCCCCCGTGCCTCTCTACCCTTCCGTTCTGCCAGGGACTAGTGGCGTCCTCGACGTGGTGGAAGACCCCCCCATTGTTCCAGGCCTCTCCCGAAACAGTCCTGGAATTCGGCCCCACCGTCAGTAATCATGAAGTGGGGGGCACCGAACGGTCTGATCCAGGCCTGAACAAACGCATGCCAAGTGGTAGTAGCCTTGGCATCTCGCAGCCGCGCACACACACCTGGAGGTTCGACCCGCGGCCCACAAAATTCACGAACGGATGAATTTCACCCCCAAAACGAAGAAAGAACAAGTCGGCCCCCAGGATGCGGTTAAACCGGAAGGTCCGCGGCAACGCCGCTCGCCTGTGATTGTCGGGCCCCCGGCGTTCAGCACACTCAGGGCACTTGAAACAATATCTGATCCACCGGAGGATCCGGTGCATAGTTCCCCCGGCCCTGAGGACACGCATGAACTTGCGATTTTCGGGTGACCCATGCTAGTATGCAGCTTACTCACAAGCCTCTGCTCTTTCCTCGGAGGCGCGGGCCTCAATCTCGGCCGGGGGGATCGTCACCCTGCTCTGTCTGGTCTCGGGCACGTCGGGGTCGCTGTCCGAGCCGTCCTCGCCCACCCCGTCTGCCTCGCCGACGTCAGGAAACTCCGGACAGGTGATGACAGGGCAGGCGAGGGCCCCCAGGCAGCACGGACCTTCCAACATGTCCGCTGAAGAGACCGGCCGAGGATGGGAGATCCCATTCCAGGCATCTGCCACCGCGCGGACCACGGCACGAACGAACTCAGGGGGGTAAACCTAGACTTTCCGAGGAAGCTGGTTCTCCAATATTACTTGGCGATGACCTCCGAGGCATGCGTGTCCCCTCATCGCCTGCTGGATCCCCGGGAGATGGTTGGCATCCCTGTAGGCTTCTTGCTGCAACCGCCTGGGTGCACCTGGAGGTCGAAGGAGCACATATCGACCCTTAGCTCGCGTGCCCCCGGCAGCTGAGCCGCCAGCCCCATGACCTCGGAGCCCCGCGACGCGGCAAAGCACGGGCGCTTTGAACGCGAAGTATCGCCGACGACGAGACTCATATATAGCCACTTCGACGCGCAGAACCAATGCTGGCAAACCCTCGGCCATCATGATCTTGTATCTCTCGGGATTCACCCGATCTCGATGGATGCTCTGGAGGGGAGAGAAGGCCCTGCGCCCTGGGCAAAACCACGCCACTTGGGGCCGGTCCCGCTCGAGGGTCTGCCACAACGCGCGGACCGACTCAGGCCTGCGAGAATCCCATCCGAGGCTAGCTCCGGGCGGAACTGCGACTTCTCTCTTCTCCAGCTCGGGGACAAAACGCGGGGGGCAGAAAATCTCAACGAACGCCGTTCAACTCCGATCCTGGCGACCCGATGGGTTCCCCTGGTCTCTCCCGCCCGTTGTCGCAGCACAGAGCACGTCACCCCCTGAGGAAGCCACTGGACCCCCTTTGGTCAGAGGCAAACGTCACGAGACAATCTCGAACTCTCCGGGGAAGGGTCACTTCTCGGTCGTCGTTGCACAAATCGCCATCGAGCCATTGGTCCAACTCTGCGCTTGTCTTCGATGGGCCCCGGGCCCTCGCACGGGGAAGCCCGATGCACGGCCGGCTGGGCTGGGGGGGAGAGGTCGGAGGCCCCGGCCTGGGCGCGGCGCTCGGGCTCAGACACGCACAGGGAAGGAGGAGGAGGATGCACAAAAAGAGGCGGAGGCGGAGGCGGAGGTGAGGTCGTTGAGAGGTCTGTCTCACATGCTACGTTGAGCTGCCGTCCGAGCGCGACGGAGCATCCTCCGGGATTCTGCCGAACACCACCTCCCAGCCGGGCGCGGTTGGTGCTACCGTCTGCGACGGCGTTCCCAGGGGCGCCGTTCCCGCCGCCGACGAGCCGGCGCTCGTCGCCCCACTGCCTGGCACAGCCCGCCCACCTGCATGGCAATCGTCATGACCATCTGCCCGACCTGGTTCACCTGGCCCTCGAGGTTCGTGACTTGCGCCGCCAAGTTCACGACGCCCTCTCCGACCTGGTCGATCGCATCGCCCAGTGGACGGCCCGAGCGTGCCCTCCAACATGCGCCGAATCTGAGTCACTCCCTGGAGCACCTGCTGGCGCGCCTCGGCCGACGAGTTCGAATGGGCCTGGGGGATGGACACCTGCTCGTACACGCGGTTGAGCGCGCCCCGCATCTGGCCGAGGTCCTCCAGTCCGCGGGGCAACTGCTGGAGCTGAACGGAGACTGTCTGCAGCAGCTGCTCGGCGTGATTGACTGCGTTCAGGGTGGCTGCTCCTGGAACGACTCCCCCTGCCCGTCGCCCCCAGCGACCCCGCCGCCCTGTCTGATTCTGGCGGGCGCCCTGGGAATCCACGCGACGCGCCCCCCGCAGTCCGCGCATCGGCTGCCGCGGGTCTAAGATTTAGGCCCGTCCTAGAAGGGGGGCCTAAAACGCCGGCCCGGGGCCTGCGATGGAAATTCGCGCTTGCGAATTTAGGTCCGCCCGCGGCTGGGGGGGCCCATATTTTTTTTGTTTGGGGGGGGACCTGCAATGTGTTTTGCCTAACAGCGAACGCTGATAGGTTTCTAGTGGTGTCAAAAGAGAGCATCTGATGACTCAGAAGGGAGGTCTGGGCGGCATCCGGACAGCGAGGGCCGGGCTCAGGGCCAGGCTCGTTTTAATCACAGTCACACACACACACACGCACGCACGCACGCACGCACGCACGCACGCACGCACGCACGCACGCACGCACGCACGCACGCACGCACGCACACACACACACCACACACACACACACTTCGTGCTCTTCGACCTCCCAGAACTCCATTCCCGGGCCACATTTTGAATGCCCGAAGCCAACTGTAGGCCACTTCGTGCTCTACGACTTCCCAGAATTCCATTCCCGGGCCACATTTTGGATGCTCGGAGCCAACTGTAGGCCACTTCGTGCTCTTCGACTTCCCAGAACTCCATTCCCGGGCCATATTTTGGATGCCCGGAACCAACTGTAGGCCACTTCGTGCTCTTCGATTTCCCAGATCTCCATTCCCGGGCGACATTTTGGATGCCCGGAGCCAACTGTAGGCCACTTCGTGCTCTTCGACTTCCCAGAACTCCATTCCCGGGCCACATTTTTTATGCTCGGAGCCAACTGTAGGCCACTTCGTGCTCTTCGACTTCCCAGAATTCCATTCCCGGGCTACATTTTGAATGCCCGGAGCCAACTGTAGGCCACTTCGTGTTCTTCGGGCCACATTTTGCTTATTAGATGTCCCCGTCATATCTCTCGCCACCCGATTGCCGGTTTGTTTTGTTCGTCATCTTGCAGGGCAAGACGGCGGACCCAGGCGTCATCGTGCACTGGACGTTTCCGCTAGAATTTAATATTTGTAGTAGCAGTAGTAGGAGGAGCAGGAGGAGCAGGAGGAGCAGGACGAGGGAGGCTCCTTACTCTTTCCACCCTCCCCTTTCTCCCTTCATTTCTGCACTGGGTACCCGACCCTTTATGACGTCCTCCGCAGGCCTGGGTGGCCCACTCAGGCCGCGGGGGAGGATAACCCCATGCTCGCGATGATAAACACTCGGGGATAATAAAGTTCGGGGTTCAGGGGGAGATAATCAAAGTAGCCCACCAGACCTCAGCACAATCTCGAAGTAAGAGATGATCAAGAGGAGACCAAACCGAGCACGTTTTGAGACACCCTTGGCGTTTAGTCTTCATTAAAATATCCTCAACGATGGCTTATTTCGCTGGAGACATCCTCGACAAATCCCTTGTTTCGCTTGAGACATCCACAAACTATTGCTTATTTCGCTTGAGACACCGTCAAACTATTGCTTATTTCGCTTGAGACATCCTCGACGTAGTTGTGTTTTTCGCTTGAAACATCATCAAACTATTGCTGATTTCGCCTGAACATCCTGAAACTATTGCGTATTTCGCTTGAGACATCCACAAACTGTTGCTTATTTCGCTTGAGACACCGTCGAACTATTGCTTATTTCGCTTAAGAAACGTATCGTTTCGCTTGAGACATCCATCAGTATATGCTTGTTTCGCTTGAGACATCCTCGAGTATATGCTTGTTTCGCTTGAGACATCCTCGGAATAGCTCATCCGCCTCGGTGTCCCTGGATAATCAACCGCGGCGATGATAAAGTTCAGGCGGGCGGAAGAATGGAGAAAGCGTTCTACACAAACAAAATCAAAAAGAAGCAATGAGAAATGAAAAAAGAAAAAAGGAAAAAAACAAAAAGAACAGAAAACAGAGGAGGAGGAGAAAGAGAAGGAAACATTTCAATTTAAAAATGTATTAGATTTTATTTACAAGCGCTTCATGAAAATAAAAAATTTTAAAGTGCTCGTGTAGGGTAGCTCATGTGCTTAAGTTTCCATGGATAATCAACCCCAGGGATAAAAAAGTTCAGGGGGGGGGGGGGTGGGGGGGGGGGGGGCGTGATGGAGAGAGAGAGAGAGAGAGAGAGAAGGAGAGAGGAGAGACAGAGAGAGAGAGAGAGAGAGAGAGAGAGAGAGAGAGAGAGAGAGAAAGAAAGAGAGATACATCATAAAGAAAAGAAAGGAAGGACTTAAAGAGAGAAGATATATTTTAAAAGAAAAATAGAATAATAAATGAAAAGGATAAAGAGAAGAGGAAAGGAGGATAAAACAAAAAATCTGAAGATTCAAATGTATTAAATTTTATTTACAAGCGCTTTAATAAGTGCTCCTCGTTTTCCCTGGACTCAACCCCAGCGATAAACAAGTTCAGGGCGCCAGGGGGAGGAGGAGGAGAAAGAGATAGAGAGACAGAGAGAGAGAGAGAGAGAGGATAGAGAGAGATGACAGAGAGAGAGAGAGAGAGAGAGAGAGAGAGAGAGAGAGAGAGAGAGAGAGAGAGGAGAGACAGAGAGGAGAGAGAAGAGAGGCCAGGACGGAGAAATAATAAAGAAATAGAGACAGAAGGACATTGGTTTCGCTTGAGACATCCTGAAACAACGTGTTCGCTTCGCTTGATGTTGTTATCTCAACATAAGAAGGAAGTAACTTCGATGGCGAACTTTTCCCGTGATAATGAAGTTCGGCCTCCGCGCCCCCGCGCCCCCGACCAAACTCTTATTGGTCGACGATAAAAAACTCTAACGACTTAAGGGGGGGGGGGGGGGGGTAACATTATTAATCGTGGCATGGGGTTAGGGGGAGGTGGGGTCTTCTTCTTTCCCTAAACAGCTTGATCCTCGTCGCCAGTACTGAGGAGGGGGGGGGTGCAACGTTCCCTCGGATGGGCCCCCCCACCCCTCCGGGAGCCCTCGATCCCATCTCCCTCTCTCCTCTCTCTCTCTCTCTCTCTCTCTCTCTCTCTCTCTCTCTCTCTCTCTCTCTCTCTCTCTCTCTCTCTCTCTCTCTCTCTCTATCTCTCTCTAGTCTCGGCTCGAGAGTGCCCAGCACTCAGACCGCAGCCGCGACGCGAAGCGCCCCGCCTCGGAGTCAGACTCCCAGGCCTCGCGAGACCGGAGGGGTCCCAGCAGGACCCTACTGATTCGCGTCACCTCTCCTCACCAGAGCGCCCGCAGCAATGGCCCCCAAGAAGCCGGAGCGCCGTCGCTCTTCTAAGCAGCCTCCGAGTTCCCGTCCCACGCGCCCTGCTGCTGAAGGGTCTCTCCTTCAACGCAAGCAGGACTGCATCGCAGCGTTCAAGCAAGCGGGGTCTGACCGCCCCGCGGCCGCATGCAGCGGGCTTGCCGAACTGAACGCGGACGAGCTCCAGGCAACGTACGACATGCACAAGTCCAACACGAAGAAGCTTGGCAGCGCCCTGATCCGTATGTGCGCCGCCAACCAGATCAGCTACACGCTTGATCATCACCAGCGCAGCAAGCCTAAGCGCATTGGCGGTGACACATCACACCCACCAGCGGGTTCCGCACGTCTTCAGGCTGCGGACACCCAATTCATCGCCTTGGACCCGGCCTTTTGGAAGGTCCCTGTCCTCGCCGAACCCACATCACCTGACGACGGCAAGACGTACAAGCCCAGCATCAGCCTCCACGACTACGAGAGCGGTGAACGGCTGCTGCAACACCACCTCGAGCAGGGCAAGCGGGCCACGGGTCAGCTCGCGATTGCTGTCATGGGCCCAAAAAACGACAACTACGTCGGTACCGAGCTCGCCGTCCCCGTCCTGAAGCGTCACCCCCAGGCGCCCAAAGTGGTCCACACGCACGTCCCCGTGACCGTGTACCAGCTGGGCACCAAGGAGGTCGCCTGCACGGAAAAAGTAGCCGTCGCCACCATCGACCCTGCCGACCACGTCTGCTGGATTCGGGCGACCATACACGAGACCGAGGCCATTGCCGCAGTCCCCTCCATGCACCAGGCCTTCGAGGACCAGTTCTCGGGAGGTGCCCCCCGTGGGCACCAAGGAGGTCGCCTGCACGGAAAAAGTAGCCGTCGCCACCATCGACCCTGCCGACCGCGTATGCTGGATTCGGGCGACCATACATGAAACCGAGGCCATTGCCGCAGTCCCCTCCATGCACCAGGCCTTCGAGGACCAGTTCTCGGGAGGTGCCCCCGTGAACGGTGGTCCACGCGCCAAGGGCCCCTTTCGAGGGGACTCCGCCCCACAGGACAAGGCGCGCCAAAACCAAAAGCACAGGGAGTCCAAGAAAGACGCTCGCCGCCAGGAGCTCGATAGCCAGCTCCAGGACACCTTCAAGGCCCTCTTCCACGGCAACTTTAAAGCCGTCACCATCCTCGAACCCTGCAAAAGCCTAGGCAGGTTTGGATCGGGCGTCGGAAAGAGGTACCTGGCTGCCACCTTCGGCGTCAGTCTCCAAGCGGTCGACAAGGTCTTGGCGGGATCAGGGCAACTCGGTGCCACCTACGACCTCAGCAACGTAGGTGCAGACGAGCCCACCGCAGACAAGTATCAGACCGTGTGGTTCCCTGAGGACCAGCCCATCACGATGGCAGATGCGTACCAGAAGTCGGTGGAGTTCAAGGCCCTGGGAGTCGTCAGGCACGGCAAGTCAGGCCTACTGGGGATCCGTGTTCCACGGGGGTCAGACGCCGCCAAGGCTGCTGCTGTCAGCATCCGTGGCTGCGAGGCTACCCTCGCCAAGACGCGCTACCGCATCACTGGCATTGCGGCACGCCACGCCACGCTGACCCAGCTCGCCAAGACTCTCACGGGCCCGTCCGATAAATGGGACTGTGAGGTCTACCACACCGCCTGGGACCCAGCCACTGCGGCCCAGTTTGCCTTAGTGCGCGCCCATCGGCCCCCACTCA